TTTAATTAAGTGTTAAAGAAGAAAAACAAAAATCTACAATGCCTGAACTGATTTGATGCAGAATGTAGAGGAAAAACAAAAGCATGTGCATTTTATCAGGTTATATCAATTATCTGATTTAAGATTTGTATGACTAATACTGCCATACCAATAAACTTTAAAAAGTTTATATCTCTCAATGAATACATAATTACCTATCTCTACCATAATGTATGAGACATAATTTATAAGTTTTCGGAATCCTCATTACAAAGTGTTATGAAATAATCAGGCACCATTAATACCCTGTATCAGACTTCACAGACACCATATGTTTTAGCTCCTTTTAATTTACTTCTATCAAGACCATAAGCATATTCAGCAAGCCTGGAAAATACAATAAAGTTGCTTGTCTTGGGGAGGAAACCACTGAGGTCATGATTAAGGTTATTCCTTGGAATTGTGGGGATCCTGACTTTACTGCAACTGCTGATCTAACTGTGCTAACACCAGAATCCCTCAGTGTTTGGCACTGACTGAGGAGTAGGAGTGGGAGAGGAGGGAAGGAGATGAGAGGTTAGGGCAGGGGCGATGAGGCAAGGCCAGAGGCATGGAAGATAAGGGAAATGGACTGAGATGAATGTTGGAAACCACAAAAAAGAATATCTGCTATCTTAGCAACTGAATGAGCTAATATAATCATTGGATCAGAAACGGTCAGTACTTGGCTCAGTGCTTTTTATAAAATCCAGATAATCTGTCAGTTAAGTATGGTTATTATCTTCAATTTTCAAATGTTACTGAATTCAGAACAGTGCCACATTACAGTGATTGTGATTATTAGCGAGGACCAAAACATATTTCATTAACAATGTTTTCACTTAGAAATTGTCCAAGCAAATCTATTACATACACTAATAACAGTTAATATTTGTATCATGCATGACAGTCTAGGTAATAATTTCATTTGTGATTGAGTCTTACAAAAATGTTATGAGCAGGTCATTATTATGTCCACACCAAGATCCCCTAGAGGAGAAAACGGCAACCCACTCCAGTATTCTTTGCCGGAAAAATCCCATGGACAGAGTAGCTGGGCAGGCTGCAGTCCATGGGGTCACAAAACTGGCCATGACTGAGTGCCTGAGCACACACACAAAGACACTCTTAAAAAGACTGGAACATCTAAGACATTTTCAGTCTCTATTGTTCATCATCTGTGTGTTAATGCACAAATTCAAATCCATACATGCCACACAATACCAAAAACATAAGCAGAGACACAAAATTTTTTACCTCAGCTTAGAGTATTGTACTCAAAATGTTTCAAAATTTTTGAATGAGAACATTTTGAATGAATATTCTGAATCATTATATTTCCTGATTAAGAAAATGGTGGTAATGATACCCATTTGGTAAATTTTTATTAAAAAACTACACATAAAATACTATTTAAATTATCATAGTACTTGGCATAGGAGGTATTCTCAATAATTTTAAGTGCCTATGTCTTTGCCTGTTATATTTTAATAGAAAGAGAAAAAAATGTGTTTTTAAAAGTGACAACTGTATACAGGTGAAACATCCATTTCTCTCCATTCTTAGTTATTTTCACATTGCAATCCTTCAAGTTTGTTAGTGATAAATATAGCATTTCAATATTAATAAATATTTACTTATTCAGCCGTATATTTTGTCCACACTTATGCAGTATTATCTTATAAATAATTTTCACAAAAACCATTAAACTCATAATTGCAAAACAGGTACTGTCCCATTTAACGGATAAGACACTATAAAGCCACTCCACCAGTTAAGGTACTTGCTCAAGTAAAATTAATGAGTCAGTGGGAATCAACATAAAATTCTTGGCTTTTTTGAAGTCTTATTTAATTTTTCAATTTACTCCTTTTCAATCACCCTAACCTATGTATTAATTTAGGATAGTATAAAGTTTGACAGAACAGAATTTTTTGTCTACTTTCACATAATCTGAAAAATGTTTATGTTTATGAAGGTGTAATGTGAGTTACAATCTCTATATTTAAAATGGAAATTTTTTTTGGAGGGGGTAAAGTAGAAAAGGATAGCTTTATTGCTTTGCCAGGCAAAGAAGGACATAGTGAGCTCCTGTCTCAAAAACTACGTGTCCCTAAACTTAAATTTTTAAGGATAAATTTCCCACATTTGCTCATATGTCTTAATCATGAGTGGAAGATACCTGTGCTCTGTGCACCTTCATCTGCTTTCACTGGGAGCCAACACTGCTGCCATCCCTTCCCATGAAGTCAGATTTCACTTCAAATCATTCTAAATACATACATCTTAGGCAGCTGCTACCAATCCATCAGATTGTCCCTTGGAAATATCTATCTACCTATCTATTTATCTCTCTCTCTATATATATATATACACATACATATACATACAAGTTGATTTATGACTTAATGCACTTAGGATAAATTTCTTCTAAATGCTAATCCAGAGACAAAACATTTGTTTTGGATCCAAAAATATCTGATAAAACATTAAAATATCATATTTAAAATTCTGAATTCATTTTAATGCATTGATTTAAATGATTATAACTGCCTTTCATGATCTGTGCAGATACATGGCTATGCTTCAAACCTGTGGTTCACTGACAAAGTTCACCTCAAGAAAAATGGCCTCTACCTATTAAGAGTGGTAAAATCATTGTAGGGATTGCTTACCATTCACTCATCTTTTGTCCGGAGTACCAAAGACAATGTATATTACATAGTCATTTCTCAATTCATATTTACTTAAGGAATGAGTACATGAAATGTAGGAAGTAAGAAGGAAAGGAAAGATGAAAGTTCTAAGGGAAAAAGAAGAGAAACATAAGGAAGAAAAGAAACCAGGGGAGAGGAAAAGAAAGACAAGAAATAGAAGGAAATGGAAAGAAGGTGCAATTTAATCACGGTGACTCAGAAGGAGAAAAATTTCAATTCATTCAAAAGGAATTAAGAAGCATTAACATATGAAAACCAATCTGTACAAATAAGTTGATTCATTGGGTATAAGTATCTATGCTAAAAAATGCATTTTTGTTAATTACCTTTTGCATATATAAATCATCAAAAGGAACAGATTTTTGCTTTATTTAGATATATGGTCAATTTTACCCACTTGCTTTGCATTAAACTTTCAATGTTTTACATAAAAATGTCAAAATATTCAAACATTATGTATCATTAATTTGTTTTGAAAGAGTGATTAGGTCCACAAAGCATGATGTTTCATATAACAATGAGCAAAAATGACACTAGAATAATAAATTCCTAAAATAACTTACTAGATTGATACTTACCAGAATATCTTTTCCAGCCCACTTGCATTCATCTCTTCTGGTGTAAGATACTGGCCACACAATCTAAGGGCAGAGAAGAAACATTATTTTCTGCCAATTAAGTTTTCTAAGAGATCCAACATTACAGTCTGTTAGATCAAGTAGGGCAACTGAGACAAAGAAAGTTCCAGAAAGCATTATGTGGCGAGAAACTTTGAGTGTAGACTTTAAAGTGGCATCAGATAATTAGCATGAACTTAAATCATATACTCTCTGTCTACCTGTTAGGTTTTGCTGTATAAATGAAATTTGAGGTACACAGAAATTTAAGTGGTCAACAGATCTAAACACTGTGTGATGGAAAGAACTGTAAGGCAGTTTAGGAGTAGAAGATCTTGAGACCACATGAGAATCTAGTGGAGAGAGACAGAAATAGGCATAGAATGTAGCTTGCATTCTTTTCAGTGAATCAGTTTTTGTCATAAAATAGTGATTCTGATTTTGAAATTTAAACATCAGGTGCTCTGGATCCATTTCCATAAGTCAGATCTCAGCATGACATTCATGAATGAGCAACTGATAGGGTTACAGAAATCCACTTTATTTATTTTTTCACTTATTTTTATTAGTTGGAGGCTAATTACTTTACAGTATTGTAGTGGGTACATTGACATGAATCAGCCACGGATTTACATGTATTCCCCATCCCAGAAATCCACTTTAGAAAGGAATCTTTCTTTTTTGAAAGGAAAATAGGTGAAGAGTAGCAATGCATACGTTCAGGAGATAGAGGAGGAAATGAGAAAACAGATACCCTAAAAAAAAAAAAAAACAAAACACCCTCCTCACTGTGGGTAAAACTCAGACTAACTGGGTAATAATTTTGCATTTTCATCCCTAATATTTGTTCATCTTCTTTCCAAAGTTTCCTGTATGATTTGAATTCAGGGACACTGGTGGGTAAATCAATTCATGACTCTTGGCTTAGAGGATTATAGATGCATTTCCCTCAATAACATTAATTAATTAAAATATCCTCATCTAAAGTTTAACATAAAATTTTCAGTTCCCCTGAGCAATTTCAATGACTCCTATCTTTTTGGGCACAGCAATTTTAATTTTTTTTAACTCCTCTTTCTTGTCTGGTAACAACAGTTAATTTCAGGGGGAAAACAGTCATATATAAAAGAAAAATTCAGAGATGATGGCAGTTAGTCATTCATGTCTGCTAGAAAGCTTTTAGTCTCAAAATGAAACAGGGGAGAGGAAAAGAAAGACAAGAAATAGAAGGAAATGGAAAGAAGGTGCAATTTAATCACGGTGACTCAGAAGGAGAAAAATTTCAATTCATTCAAAAGGAATTAAGAAGCATTAACATATGAAAACCAATCTGTACAAATAAGTTGATTCATTGGGTATAAGTATCTATGCTAAAAAATGCATTTTTGTTAATTACCTTTTGCATATATAAATCATCAAAAGGAACAGATTTTTGCTTTATTTAGATATATGGTCAATTTTACCCACTTGCTTTGCATTAAACTTTCAATGTTTTACATAAAAATGTCAAAATATTCAAACATTATGTATCATTAATTTGTTTTGAAAGAGTGATTAGGTCCACAAAGCATGATGTTTCATATAACAATGAGCAAAAATGACACTAGAATAATAAATTCCTAAAATAACTTACTAGATTGATACTTACCAGAATATCTTTTCCAGCCCACTTGCATTCATCTCTTCTGGTGTAAGATACTGGCCACACAATCTAAGGGCAGAGAAGAAACATTATTTTCTGCCAATTAAGTTTTCTAAGAGATCCAACATTACAGTCTGTTAGATCAAGTAGGGCAACTGAGACAAAGAAAGTTCCAGAAAGCATTATGTGGCGAGAAACTTTGAGTGTAGACTTTAAAGTGGCATCAGATAATTAGCATGAACTTAAATCATATACTCTCTGTCTACCTGCTAGGTTTTGCTGTATAAATGAAATTTGAGGTACACAGAAATTTAAGTGGTCAACAGATCTAAACACTGTGTGATGGAAAGAACTGTAAGGCAGTTTAGGAGTAGAAGATCTTGAGACCACATGAGAATCTAGTGGAGAGAGACAGAAATAGGCATAGAATGTAGCTTGCATTCTTTTCAGTGAATCAGTTTTTGTCATAAAATAGTGATTCTGATTTTGAAATTTAAACATCAGGTGCTCTGGATCCATTTCCATAAGTCAGATCTCAGCATGACATTCATGAATGAGCAACTGATAGGGTTACAGAAATCCACTTTATTTATTTTTTCATTTATTTTTATTAGTTGGAGGCTAATTACTTTACAGTATTGTAGTGGGTTTTGTCATACATTGACATGAATCAGCCACGGATTTACATGTATTCCCCATCCCAGAAATCCACTTTAGAAAGGAATCTTTCTTTTTTGAAAGGAAAATAGGTGAAGAGTAGCAATGCATACGTTCAGGAGATAGAGGAGGAAATGAGAAAACAGATACCCTAAAAAAAAAAAAAAACAAAACACCCTCCTCACTGTGGGTAAAACTCAGACTAACTGGGTAATAATTTTGCATTTTCATCCCTAATATTTGTTCATCTTCTTTCCAAAGTTTCCTGTATGATTTGAATTCAGGGACACTGGTGGGTAAATCAATTCATGACTCTTGGCTTAGAGGATTATAGATGCATTTCCCTCAATAACATTAATTAATTAAAATATCCTCATCTAAAGTTTAACATAAAATTTTCAGTTCCCCTGAGCAATTTCAATGACTCCTATCTTTTTGGGCACAGCAATTTTAATTTTTTTTAACTCCTCTTTCTTGTCTGGTAACAACAGTTAATTTCAGGGGGAAAACAGTCATATATAAAAGAAAAATTCAGAGATGATGGCAGTTAGTCATTCATGTCTGCTAGAAAGCTTTTAGTCTCAAAATGAACGATTATCATTCATTTGGGAACTTCTAGATAATTCAATATAAATGGTCATAAATTTGAGCAAAGGCTGTGATAATCTAGGGAATAAAGGCAAAATGCAATGCATTTATAAATAAGAATTTAGGACTTATTGAAATAAATTATGATGACATGGCAAGTGGATTTCAGGTCCATGTCACAATGAAAAACTCTAAAGATTTTTTTATATGCATTTAATTTTTTTTACAATTTTAAGCACTTAATTTATGTAATCCTTTTGTTTTCATATACTTTTCATGTATGTCTGTATTTGTAAAGTACTATAACTTGCACCATAAGTTTTATTTTTCACAAAGGAGTTTCATAATTTTTTTACAAAGGAAGAATATAGTTACCATGATTTTAATTAACAAGCCTTACATTCTTACAATTAACATTACCCTGATTCCTGAATAAGGGCTGGCACCTCCAATCCACAGGCTCCATAGCCCTGTCTTCTCACTGAATAGGGAAAAGCCAAGTGAGCTATTCTTCCTTAAAAGTTAACAATGGAGGAAGATCAAATATAAATTTTCTCTGGAACACAGAGATAATAAATAGCAGAGCTAAGATTTGACTTTCATATTCCACTTTTCAGACAGACTGTGCAAAAATCATGTATTATTAAAATAGATACCTTTTTTAGTTCAAAAAGGCGAGTTGTTTTCTTGCAGTTTCCTAGTTTTTCATAGATGGCATTGACACAACATAGGACTCATTTTCAGATTTCTCTCTTATGTCATTATTAACAAAAAAGTAATCTTGGTAACATTCATGCTATATTTTCTTATAATTTAGAGGGGTGTATTTAGTTCAGTTCAGTTCAGTCACTAAGTCGTGTCCGACTCTTTGAGACACCATGGACTGCAGCATGCCAGGTTTCTCTGTACATCACCAACTCCTGCAGCTTGCTCAAACTCATGTCCATCGACGCGGGCATGCCATCCAACCATCTCATCCTCTGTCGTCCCCTTCTCCTCCTGCCTTCAATTCCTCCCAGCATCAGGGTCTTTTCCAATGAGTCAGTGCTTCACATCAGGTGGCCAAAGGATTGGAGCTTCAGCTTCACCATCAGTCCTTCCAATGAATAGTCAGGATTGATTTCCTTTAGGACTGACTGGTTGAATCTCCTTACAGTCCAAGGGACTCTCAAGAGTCTTTTCCAACACCACATTTCAAAAGCATCAATTCTTCCACACTCAGATTTCTTTATGGCTCAATTCTCACATCCATACATGACTACTGGAAAATCCATAGCTTTGACTAGACATACATTTGTTGGCAAAGTAAGGTCTCTGCTTTTTAATATGCTGTCTAGCTTGGTCATAGCTTTTCTTCCAAGGAGCAAGTGTCTTTTAATGTCATGGCTCCAGTCATCATCTGCAGTGATTTTGGAACCCAAGAAAATAAAGTCTCTCACTTTTTCCACTGTTTTCCCATCTATTTGCCATAAAGTGATGGTACCGGTTGCCATGATCTTAGTTTTTTGAATGTTGAGTTTTAAGCCAGCTTTTTTACTCTCCTCTTTCACATTCATCAAGAGGCTCTTTAGTTCTTCATCCCTTTCTGCATAAGGGCGGTATCATCATCATTTCAGAGGTTATTGATATTTCTCCCAGCAATCTTGATTCCAGCTTGTGCTGCATGCAGCCTGGCATTTCACATGATATACTCTGCATATAGGTTAAACAAGCAGGGTGACAATATGATGCAGCCTTGACATACTCCTCTCCCAATATGGAACCAGTTTGTTGTGCCATGTCTGGTTCTAACTGTTGCTTCTTGACCTGAATACAGATTTCTCAGGAGGCAGGTCAGGTGGTCTGGTATTCCCATCTCTTGAAGAATTTTTTACAGTTTATTGTGATCCACACAGTCGAAGGCCTTGGCGTAGTCAATAAAGCAGAAATAGATGTTTTTCTGGAACTCTCTNGTGCCCATCTTTGCATAAAATGTTCCCTTGGTATCTCTAATGTTTCTGAAGGGATCTCTAGTCTTTCCCATTCTATTGCTTTCCTATATTTCTTTCCTTTGATCACTGAGGAAGGCTCTCTCATCTTTCCTTGCTATTCTTTGGAACTCTGCATTCAGATGGGTATCTTTCCTTTTCTCCTTTGCCTTTAGCTTCTCTTCTTTTCTTAGTTATTTGAAGGCCTCCTCAGACAGCCATTTTGCCTTTTTGCATTTCTTTTTCTAGGGGATGGTCTTGGTCACTTCTTCCTGTACAATGTCATGAACCTCTGTTCATTGTTCTTCAGGCACTCTGTCTATCAGATCTAATCCTCTGAATCTATGTGTTACTTCCACTGTATAATCACAAGAGATTTGATTTAGGTCAAATGAAACATTTGCTTTTCCTGTGGTTCTCCCTATTACTTCAATATAAGCTTGAATTTTGCAATAAGGAGTTCATGGTCTGAGCCACAGTCAGCTCCCAGTCTCGTTTTTGCTGATTGTATTGAGCTTCTCCATATTTGGCTGCAAAAAATGACCATCTGGTGATGTTCATGTGTAGAGACGTCCCTTGTGTTGTTGGAAGAGGGTGTTTGCTATGACCAGTTCGTTCTCTTCGCAAAACTGTTAGCCTTTTCCCTGCCTCATTTTGTACTCCAACACCAATTTGCCTGTTACTCCAGGTATCTCTTGACTATCTACTTTTGCATTCCAGAGGGGTGTGTAGTCTCAACTTATTACAGACCAGGCTGAACAAAAATGGCTTAAATATCTAACATGAAAAATAAATAAATTCTGGTGTAGAAAGTGCTCTTTTGGAAAGCAATTTAATGAGAATAACTATAAGTCAATAGAGCAAATATATAAATTGTCTTTCTAATAGCATTTATTTCCATGAAGGATAGTTACTAAGTTTTGGTTAGATTTATTAACCTGTTGCTATTTTCTTTTCCTTGCTCTAAAGTTTCTCATTAATTTAATTGTTGTTGTTTAGTCTCTCATGTCCAGGTCTTTTTGTGACCTCATGGATAGTATCCCACAAGGCTCCTCTGTCCTTGGGATACCCCAGGCAAGAATTATAGAGTTGACATCTCCTTCTCCAGGGGGTGTTCCCAACTCAGGGATCGAGCCTGTGTCTCCTGTGTTGGCAGGTGGTCTCTTTCCCACTGAGCCACGAGGGAAGCCCGGTAATTAATCTCATTAACACTCATTAGCACTTACATTTCTTACCCTCATATTGAAAGTGCTTCACGATCATATTAGACTCTCCCTTCTTTATGCTCTATACATTTAATCTTGGTAGCTCCTCTTACTCATCATTGAATAAGCATTTTCACCTTAAAGAAATGTAGCCCTTTATCAAAGCCAAATATGTTTTCTAAGGTCCACTTAAACCAGAGACTGTTTTTCTAACAAGGGTTGACCTAATATTTACCTTTAAATTCATACATCTCAACTTTAATATTATCTTGTAAGTGCCTCAAGAATTATTTGTACCTCCTACAGATTTTATACTGAGTTTATTTTATACAGATTTTATGCCTAAGTAGAGGTTTAGGAAAAAGTTATTGAATAACATTATACATAGGCTAAAAGAACATTAATAGACAAATATAAACAAGCAGAAGAAAATCCTTAAGAAAACTGTATTTACCTTATAAACAGTGTGACAATTAAAATTAAATATTTTCAAAACTGATGTTTAAAATTAGAAATATGTTACATATTACTAGAATAATGATTTGAATCAAGAGTAGGAGCTATAGTAAGAACACTGATATTGGGCAAGTCACCGAACTTTTACTGAATCTATTTTCTAAGTATTTGCTGTAAATGATATATCCCAGGCATAAAAATGTCTCCAGGATATTTCTCAGGTGTAGCATAGTAAATTGTTTTACATGACAATTTAGTTCTTTTCAATTTTAGAACTGAATGTATATATATATATATATATATATATATATATATGTGTGTGTGTGTGTGTATATATATATATATATATATATAAAATTAAGAATATTGATTTAGAAGAAACACAATCAATACATTAAACATATTTTGAAGTAACATCTGCTCACATATTGTCTATGTAGATATATATATACCACATATATTTATATTGATATATGGATTTTATAGAATGATGAAAATTCTATAAACATTTAAATTGTGAACTGATATAGTCTCTTATTACTAAAATATGTAGTCTTCCTAATCATCTTAGATTTTCCTTCATTTTATAAAGGGTGGTTTTCTTTCACTAAAGCAACAAAAACCTCCTTATTTTGTGACCTTTACAAAAGATGTAAGGTATTTTTATCATTTCAGAAAAACAAATGGATAACCCATTTCCTTAGATAATAGGTAACTTTAGAGATATTGCTATCATCTGAGGAGGCTTCAAAATCAAATAGACTGAAATATCAAAAAAAAAAAAAAAAGAAACAGCCTGAAGAAATCAAGGCGATTATTAAATGCCATATTTTAATTTCAAAATATATCAGTAAGGGCACTGCCATTTTATGACTATATGTCAAAAATCAAATTTCATAATTCACAGTCAGAATTTTAGGGTTTGGGGAACAGAATAAAAGTGTTAGTTTTAGTGGCATACTCTATTAGAAATAAATCAGCCCTGAAATGAAATCTTTATTGTATCCTAGGCAACATTCTTCAACCACTACAAAAGCTTTTTACATTGTTATTTTTAAAAAATTATTGTCCAGTTCACTACAGTTTATAAGAAGTTGAGACACACCACTTTAAAACCCTCAGTGTTAAGAAGTAAAACTATATATGATACTGAATTGTATAAATACTGAAGTGTATGTACCCTAAAGGGGCTTCGCTAGTGGCTCACCAGTGAAGAATCCACCTGACAATGCAGGAGATGCGGGTTGGATCCCTGGGTCAGGAACATATCCTGACCCAGAAGGAAATGACAACCCACTCTAATATTCTTGTCTGGAAAAATCCCATGAACAGAGCAACCTGGTGGGCTATAGTTCATGGGGTCACAAAACAGTGTGATAGGACTTAGCCACTAAACAGCAATGCACCCTAAAAGGGCTTTCTAGGTGGGTTAGTGGCAGACTCCACCTGCCAATGCAGGAGACTCAGGAGATAAGAGGTTGATTGCTGGGTCAGGTCAGGAAGATGCCCTGGAGTAGAAAATGACAACTCACTCCAGTATTCTTGCCTGGAAAATTCCATGAACAGAGGAGCCTAGGGGGCTGCAGTCCATGGGGTCACAAAGAGTCGGACATGACTGAGGGACTGAGCATACATGTACGCATGCATCCTAAAAACCATGTTACATTCACACTCTTGGGAAAGCTTGCATAAAGATCTTTGTTTCTCAGAAAATTGAGACTGGAAATACTGAGAAAATAAATATTTGACTTAGAATACAGCATATAGACTCAGTAGCACAATTTCCACTAATTTGTCATCCCATGTTTATTTTCCAAACTATACAGTGTATTAATTAAATAAGTAATAAATAGTATAAGTATTACTAATACTTTTTATAAAGTATATTAAAAACTGATAAAAGACTAGTGTCTAAATGACCACATTTGAAAAAACTGAACACTGAAAACGAATCTTCCAGATCAGGGTTTGGCAAACTTTTCGTTTAAAGGGCCAGATAGTAAATATTCCAGGCTTTCTGATCCAGATGATTTATTTCACAGCTACTCAGCTCTGACATTGTAGAATAAAAGCAGACACAGACAATATGTAAATGGATTGAGAGTAACTGTGTCCCATTAATAATAAACTTTACAAACATGAGTGACACATCAGATGAGGTATGTATATAATGACTGATGAACTCTGCATTTTTAGGCAATATAGATAGATGCATAAATTATATATAAATATATGTACACATATACCTAGTATATGAAATCAATTATTATACATTTCTATAATGGTTTAGGTATTTAATTGTATGCAGGAAAAAGGATGCAACTATAGAAAAATAAGCTAAAGTTAGCATTTCTTATAATGATCACCAAAAATACTACAGTTTCCTTCTTGATGATTTTTATGGTTTACTATATACATTGATTTGTGAAAGTCAAATCAGTGCTTTAATTTTATGTGTCTGAAAGATAAAATATTAATTTGAACAAGTTTTTCAGTTGTCACATAATTAAATAGCTATAAAATTCTATATAACTTAAATTGTTTCAAAAAAATTATAGTCCGTGTATCAGAATAAAGGTACCTTTTGAAAATCCTTGATGTTAACCAGGTTGAATGAAAATATATGATCCTTTGCTCCAACATACAGTCTACTCCGTTCCTCATCCAAAAGGAAGGTATGATAACTGGAGCTGTTGGCCAAGCCATTGAAAGTGATCACATTGTTGGATTCCAACATTTCTGCAAGGTAACAAAGCAAGACATTGAGTGTTAATGTGAGGTTCGGTATGAGTAGAGACGATTGGCACATGGTAATGTGGCTACTTCCTGGTGTGTTACCAATCAGTGGTTATTCTTTGTGATATTAAAACTTCACAGGACTCTTTACATTTCAATGAAATGGAAGTTATGGTCCCATTAATGTGCCGATTTCATGTTCAAGATGACATACTTCTACAGAACAAAGGAGAGAAATACTTTGTCCAAATGACTGGTCTGATGGAAACTCTTTGCATGTGGCAATGAATTAGAATGGTCAGTTTGTATATAAAACATCTTTAACTCTTATTAAAACTTGTTTAAGTGGTTTTCACCTGCTCCAAGTCATTGCTAGAAGGATAAGCTCAAGGGCCAACAGAGCAGAGGTGTGGGGAAAACAAACTCCTAGGTTGTTTAAGGTCTCTCTTTAATAAAGAATTTTAGTATGCCTTTTTGATAATTAAATCACTAACTTTGTAATATTTTGTAACTGGCATGTGGATGAGTTAGTTTTTTATGAAAACACTGAATTAAATTAATTTGCTATGTGATCTCAGTTTTTTAGTTTATCAATTTCCAATTTACTTTTGCTGTGAACAGGCAAATAATGAACCTTCAGATACCTTAAGTAAGAAAAATATTTTCAAATAGAAAGAACAGTAAATTGTCTTTGCACTAGAAAGGCAATTGCTGATCATTACCGAAGAGGTTTCTTTTATCTGCTTCAACTGAAATTACATACGCAGTCTTTACATAAACACACCCACCACCACCACTGCTGCCACCGCCGTTGCCGCCACCACCACCGCAATTCCAAAATACAAATGTTGGGAACTCTTCAGAAATGTGTTCTGAATCAGTGATTCAGATTTTTACCATGCATGCATAGTAGAAATTTTCATCAGCAGCCATAAAATGTAGAACGTGCCTTCCAAAAATGAAAGCAGAAATGAAGACCCTTCCTCTGTCCCAGACCTATCCCAGGACATTAGTCATTCGATAAGTTGCCTTATTTTATTTTTTTACTTCCTTTTCCATCTCATCAAAATAATATTTTAATAGAGAACAAAGTTCAAACTTCTTAACTTAGCATTAAAGTTCAGATAAACATCATGTGAGTTTAAACCCCACCTCAGTACTCCTTCTCATGTCCACTACAGGGCAGGAAAACACACTCCATAGTCATCCACTTATTAGCCTTTCCTGACACCTACAGCTATATGCTACCTAGGGAAAACAGCATCACTCTTCCAAGCTAGTTCAAATGAAATCCCTAACAGACTCACACAGAATTAATTTATTTGTAATATTTTCCTTTAATTACTTATAGCCTGCATCACACTGTCAATTATTACCATCATTCATATAAATGAATTACATACCAGAATTAATAAGAAAACATATAGTTAATAGTGTATCATCTACAAATCACATGTTTTTTTTAATATATTACTGGGTTAATACATATTAAATGGAATATCTGTCTGTCTATCTATATCTACCTATCTAACTACCCATCTTACACGCAAAACTGTAATAATTGTTAATAAATTGCTAAAAGATGCTTTTCAAAGTTATTCATAAGAAACAGTACACTACTGGATTTATCTTATTTCACCCTCAACTTACGACCAAAAAAAAAAAAGGAAGGAAAGAAGAATAGAAGGCAGGAGGAAAAAAAGACACAGATCAAGGGAAACAGTTTCATTCATGTGAAGCATACCTGAAACAATGAGTGCTATTAGTCTCCAAAGAGAAAGAACAGAGAATCCACCACACAGTATACGGATGTAAATGCCATTCCTCTCACCAATGATTGTAAAGGATCAATGCTACAGAGCCAATGTAAGACTGAAATTTCAGGCACTCGGAGCTGCGTGAGGATGGAAAGGCCTACACCAGAGACTGGGCCGTATCACTGGACGCGCTCGGGCACTGCCCAACTACACACAGAGCTCTGGTTATCAGACAGAGTAGATGACCTTTACCCTTCTTTCCAATCCTAAACTCTAATTCCACCCAAACACCAGAGAGACCAAACTGTAGGTAGCTAGGCAAACTAAAAACAATTGTAAAAGCCCGCTGAGTCTAAATCAAGACAATTACGTAGATATTAGTCATCAAGAGGGTCATTTAAGAGACTGATTTTAACTGGACACGCATAGAAACCAGGTGAGAGGCCTCTGAACATGAAGCTGACGAGTAGCAGGAAGACAACTGCTGCAGCTCAGAGTACGGAGTCGTAGCTACAGGTGAGAACACAGGCACCACCACAGTACTTACCGGTGCGCAGACTCAGGGGAGTTCCTCACATCACTCAGGCCTCAGGTTGTAGAGAAAGGGGTTAATAATGACTCTCCCAAGAGTTATTACGAAGGTAAAATTAAGTAATTCATAAAAATTACTAGTTTGCATGAAAAATACTCAGTTAAAGAATACCTGTTTGTAGAAGGAGAGGTGAAATATTAATATGTTTGGTCTTCTCGACTACAGGTAGGAAATCAGGGAAGATGGAGCTGACTGAAAGAAGTACTTTTCCACTGTCTTATCAAGTGTACCAGCTTGTTAGCGTAACTGTGTACGGCTAAGGGATAAATAAGAACAGCGATAACTCCTTGGTTTTCATTGGTTTTCGTTTGCCAATTTCTGAATGTTGGCTGCACTTTAAATAATAAAAATAATGACTTTCTTTATCATTTATTGTTGTTGTTCAGCTGCTCTGTCATGTCCGACACTTTGTGACCCCATGGGCTCCCACACGGCAGGCTTCCCTGTCCTTCACAAGCTCCCAGAGCTTGCTCAAACCCAAGTCTATTGAGGTGGTGATGCCATCCAATCATCTCATTCTCTGTCATCCCCTTCTCCTGCCTTCAATAGTGCCCAGCATCAGGGTCTTTTCTAATGAGTCGGCTCTTCATACCAGCTGACTGGAAAGTACTGGAGTACTAGATCTTCAACTTCAGCATCAGTCCTTCCAATGAATATTCAGGACTTATCTCCTTTAGGATTGACTAGTTTGATTGCCTTGCAGTCCAAGGGATTCTCAAGACTCTTATCGCACACCACAGTTCAAAAGCATCAATTTTTTGGCGCTCAGCCTTCTTTATGGTCCACCTCTCACATCAAGGACCATTTGAGTCCTAACTGTTGACATATATTTGTAAGATCAGGAAAGCACCCGCATTTAAAACTTGAAGAATAGTGTAAGCAGCTTGGCAGAAAATCCTATATAGAAATTAGATCACTCTTGGAGGAAGAAAGTTACATCACCAATAGCCACA